GATGAAAGTGCTTTCGAGTACTCGTCCAATCTATCATACACCATACCGATGTTGTTGTAGGAAGGAATCAAGTTGGGATGGCTTGGAGAGAGAGATTTTAGCTTAATATCCAGTGCTTTTTCATTCAATGAAAGTGCTTTCGAGTACTCGCCCATTCTATAATACACCAAGCCGATGTTGTTGTAGGAAGAAGCCAAGTCGGGATGATTCGGAGGGAGAGACTTTTGCTTAATATTCAGGGCTTCTTCATTCGATGAAAATGCCTTCGAGTACTCGCCCATCTTATAATACACCAAGCTGATGTTGTTGTAGATAGAAGCTGAATCGAGAAGATTGGAAGGCTGGGCTTTTTCCTTGTTCTTCAGCGCTTCTTGGTAAAATGATATTGCTATCGAATACTCGCCAATTGTATCATACACCACACCAAGTAGATTATTATAGTTTCCTCTCTCTTTATCTGAAGTTATTTTTTCAAGGAGGAGCTGATAGAGTTGTAGTACTTTTTCAGGTTGTCCCACTGCAATTAGTATACGGCCTAATCGAGCCCACCCGGTTGCCCAACTAATCTTGTTGCGTATGTCTGCCGTGATAGTGTTTAACTCACTGTCGTCGTTACACGTGAAGGTGAGATTAACTTGCCATAAGCAACCAGAATGATCATCATCGAAAGGTTTGATTTGCTAGATGCGGAAAATCGTGTGCGTAGAGAAGAGAATTTCTTCCTCTTTATCCTTGTAGAAATCCTCGTCTTTGACATGGACAAAAGGTGTCGATGATGCCGCACATAATTTTGGATCAATTTTCATGGCAAAGAGTATGCCAACGGAATTAGGATCACTAAGTGCTTGATGTGCGAAGCCGAGCGAGATATTTCGATTGCGACTAGTCGGTAGAAAATTGTTAAAGGACATAAGTTTTCCTTTTGTACGTCTAATTTTTTCGAAGTTATCAACTAATAATCCTTGACCTCGGAAGACGTTGAATGGTGCCATAGTCGCGTTTTGTTGTTGTTCACCATGCAACTTCTCAATACGTGGTTGTTCATATAATATATCATTCATTTCTATGTAGAAGACTATAAATGAATATTCTTCTTCTATACTAAACTTTAAAAAAATCAATGAGAGTAGATAATATCTCGAATGTTATAATTAAAAGCCTACCACCAGGTTCCGTCAAATGCCTATGCACTTGCTTTAATGATTGGCTGAGCAATAGCGAGTTTCTAGAGAAATGGACATTGCAAAAATCAGAACGCTAAACAAATTGAAGACGAGAGTATCATATTGCGAGCAGAAAATGTCAATATCACTTTGACCACTAAATAGATTAGAAGACCGAGCGACTGCAAATAGTATTATCCCACAGAAATAATCAGGCTTCCGTAAAGAGTGTCTATTACAAACAAGAATTTTATCAATATCTCAGTAAATCAAAGATAACCTGGCTGATAGCATATGCATCCTGACAATATATGTTGACTACGAAAAAGCATACAACTTAGTATGGCAAAAAAAGTTTGATTGTCAAATTTCATCATATGCATATTGCACTCGAAATACTTAAGTTGCTAACTAGTTCTTTGGAAAATAGAAACGCATATGCATGTTGTACTTGCAAAAGCAACATCAAAGACATTCGAAACTGGTATCAGTCTTCCGAAAGATAGCTCGTTGAGTCCATATATTTTTATAGTATACAGTCCTGATTCAGTCAATTTTACAGAGGATTTTTCTACACATCTTTTTGTGGATGATCTCGACACACTGATTGTTCCACCGATACATAAAATCTTTAGGGAAATGTTGGACTTAATAAACGCTGCTGACTCGCAAATATGCCGAAATGTTTTTTATTACACGAATAAATGAAAGCAATCGATAAATGTAACTGAAACTATATTCCAAGTTCTCCATTCGCAAGTAAAGTTACGAGAGATAGATTAAAATGAATGGATCACCATTTGCGATGATGAGATCGTTTAAATATCTTGGATATACAGGAGCCGATAAATTTTCATCGCAACCTACAGTTGAGAAGTGTTTGGAAAATATAGAAAAATCGTACATAACATTGAATTAGCTTAAACGGAACCATAGTACATCGAAACAAACGTTGAGAAGTTCTTTCTTCGCGTACTAATTACCATTTTTTACACCGATCTTCTCGTTTTTTCCCCTACTTCCAGGAACTCAACAAGAGCTAATCCATAGAAAGTATCGAGTTAGCCGTCGAATAGTACACATGTGTCTTTATGTAAAAGTATCTGATATTTCCAGTTACCCTAAAGAAAAACTGATTCAACTTTATATGTACAAATATTTACAAAAAAAGTTGGCAAATACCCAGAAAACTGATTTAGGTCATTTACAGTTCTATCTAGATATATTTTATCGGGGCCTTTTTAAGAACCTGAGATCTAAACGAAGAGATTGAAAAAACTTTCTGGGAGTGGGACATTTTTTCAGGTTATTACGCACAAGAAAAATGCAGAAGAAACAACGATTCCATTTTCTTACATAGCTCTCTATCATTAATCAACAACGAGAGAAAAGAGCCTCATTCATGCTCCTAACTGAGATTGATTACTCATGATGCTTGAAAATCTTTCATTATTATTATTTATCATTATATTTTCTTCTTCTTTAGTGGTCAATTCATGATTAAACGCGTGTCGTGTCATTGCACTCTGCCTATCTGTCTTTTCTTCTTTCTCTCCATTTTCATCCTTTAGTTTTAACTCTTTTTCTAACGAAGCACTTAGTCTGGTGACATTATTCATGTGGTTTTGAGTCTTTTACTTTTTGTTTCCTCCTTTCTCTATTTATATATCTTACTAGTCGCTTGAGTCCTTATATGTAAATGCGGTTGTAAGTGCTCTCGAGATGGGCAACCGGTGAATAATAAAAAAGCATAAATAATAAAAAACATATTGTCGTTCTGCGTTCATTTCTGTTTAAATGTGCCTCAGCTGTTGAAGATTTTTCAAAGAATATCATTATTAATAAACATCATTCAAGTATATTCCTTCACATTGAAAAATTGGAGTTTCTAAATCCTATGGGCTTAATCAAACTTATCAATCCGATTATTCTGCAACAATATCAAAGTTGAAGTCGATGAGGTCAGATTATACTCGATTGAAAAGTTTTGATCATAATTAAGCACCCAAACAGACAAATATTTCTGGACAAGCGTGTAATCGAACAAATAAAGGCAAAAACTTATGCTTTTTCTGTCGTGTTCAGAAACTATAATTGTAAGAAAATCAAGGGGTAAAAAATTCATTCGGGCATTCCCTGCCATTCCGATTCATTCCTAGCCATTCCCAACCATTCCTATCCGTTTCAAGTTACTCTGAAGCATTCTCATATAGGAGGGGGGGAGGCATTTCAGTTAATGAAAGTTAATTAATTACACTAATTAAGTGATTTCACTTAACATGAAATATGAGGCGTTAATTTTTTCTTCTAAATACTTGACACTTAATATTAATTGTTAATTGATGAGATTAAACTTAAGTTTAAATTAATGTAAATGGTCCACCCCTACTCGCATGTACTACTGTTTTTTATAAATTACTGTATCTGTTTTTAGAAGCTTGCTATTTTCTAATGATTACAATTTTTCATTGAAATCGATTTACATAATTTTGAACTTACGTTAGTTGTCGCATATTCATAAGTAGCGATATCAAACATTAAAAATCAATAGATTTTTATTGATTGAAGACTACGCTACATTCAGATTTAAGTACACGAAATATGAATTCGATGGAAAAACATTCATTTAAACATGTAGAGTGCTTATATTCTGAACGAACAACAGGGATTTGATCCTTAAATCTTGAAATATATTTCGTTTTTCTTCAGCAAAGTGATCGTCTCTTTTTATTAACCGATTTCCAAAAAACTTGCAAACTCTCCTTAAGTCCAGCTAATTTTTGTAAGAATCCTCTGATCAACTACTCAAGTCATTGAAATTCTTGCTCTTATCTAACCTTGGCGGCATGTGATACCCATGATTCCGGATTATTCTTAATCATATTCATTTGTTCACACTTAATGACTGCTTTTCTATAATATTCAAGTAACCTTCAAGGATAGGAAAAAGCATATACAGTTTAGGTGTCGATAACAGTGAATAGAATGTGGTTGATATCAGACAAGTTATATGAGTTTTTTAGATTTGTATGATTTCAAATGTATCCAGTTATTTCGAAAATAAAAGACCCATTTAAGCTGTATTATTTGCACAGTCAGTATTCTGAGAAAAAATCCTTCTATATATGAGGTTATTCATTACAATCACAGATCTCCTCACGTACATATGACCAGTCGAATTCTTTACTTATCTATTTTGCTTTCTGTTGTCAATCACTTTTCTAACCACTTCGGTTATTATATTTCTTGCCATAATTGATATATCTATGCATATGAAATCCAAAAAGGACATTTTTGTGATAAACTTGTTTTTTTTTGGTTTTGTAAAAATACTGATTTGAATTTGTTAAAATATTATCTTATCAACATAATGATGGATCTCTTCGTTAGTAATTACTTGTAATTATGAATATGAAAAATGATTATGTATCTCGAGAACAAAAGAATGTGATGAAGATTATAACCATTTACAGTAGACTTTGTTTGGTCAAGGCATTTCGACAATAGCGATAATCATCTTTATAATGAATTGAAATCTTCTTGCATAGTTTGAACTATTTCAAGGCACTCGTGCATGTCGAGTAATTGCTATTCATTATTATTTATTCCTAGCCATTCGAATGGCTCGGAATGAGTTTTTCCCCCCCTTGTCTATACCTAAATTTTGTAAATTACTGCTTTGCATCTTAAAGTTAGTTTTTCTCGTGGGCTTATTTTCTTGACTGTAGGGAGGGTCATATGAAATAAAATGAGTTTGTCTGTGTGTGTGTCTGTATGTGTGTGGCATGTCAAAGATCTTAGGATTAAAGAACATTATAAAGTTTGACTGAAGGTAATCAAGGTCCAGGAATCCGAATCTGCAGTCAGATTTTCAAAATTTTGTACACAAGTTCTGGGTGTGGGTGTGGGTGTGTGAGGGTGGATGCTGGGAGGATGATCTACACACACATTCACATCCACACCCTTTCAATAACAATATCCTAGTCCATCGAAGATAATTCCTGAAAGAAGAATGGTTGGCGGTCTAGATATTTTAATCAGCTTTCAAAAAATTTAGATAGGCCTTCTACACTTTCAATTGAAAATGAGCTGTTGTCAAAATATTCTGAAAAGCTATAAATTCCATGAAAATCGATTCATTAGTGTGAACACAAAAACGCATACATCGACAGTATTAATCTGTTAGCTGGACTATTCGACATGCTAGCATACGAAGAAGAATATGTGATGTCAGGAGTGACGATATACAAAAGTAGAATGAGTGTCATAGTGACACTGTATGAAAAATTATGAAGTTAATTAAAAATAGTAATGAAATATCCAGGGTGCATGTGATGTAATCAATCAAACACTTAAACTCTAAAATGTAATTGTGAAGACTATAAATGCATGCATACATAGTTTTTGAACAACTCTTATAACTATGTAAATCTCGAATGAAAAAGCCCATTTTGAGAATAATATCAGTATCAAGCACTCGAAGACCCTTATTGAGCATCAAATAGATAAAATTATGGCTCCGTGTACCAACAAATCGGTGAAAAGCTACAATATTCTCGTTCGATCTTTTGAATCGTGCTTTCAGCACCAGCATTGTGAAGACGACAGTACTCGGCAAGTTCTTTGATGACTTTGTTATCATCATCCTCGATTTCCAAAA